CCGCGGGGTCTGGGCTCGGGGAATGTCACCCTTGAGCGTTTGGGGTGGCACCGTCCTCTCCTCCCAGGCACCAGCCGGGGTGGTCTGAGCTTGGGGCAGCCCCTGGAAACCATCTCCTGCCTCTGCTGCTCTGGTTTGCAGCCCAGAAGCTGCAGCCAGGAGTTTTCCTGGAGCCCCAGAGAGAAGAAGAGGGTGGGCGCAGGGTTTGTGCCCTGGCTGTGTCCTGTTGACTGCTCCAGACCCTGTGCCTGCATCGTCCCGCAGCCTGGAAGGGTGACGTTGGGGCAGTCTCTGTCCCGTGTCCTCCTTGCTGGTGCCTTCTGGGCCTCCCCGGGTGGGTGTGAGGAGTCAGGACTTCTCCACAGGAGCAGGAGGGTGTTAGGACGTGGTGGGGTCTCTGCGGAGGCTCTTTGAGGGATGATCAGTCGTGGCTTTTAGAAGATATTTCAGGACAGTTTGTGCGGTTTTCCCCTGCTGAAAAATGCCCAAGCTCCTGGCACACTGCACCCTGCGCACCTCCTGCTCTTAGGGGGAAGGAAAAGACTTCAGGTGGATTATTTACTGGTTCTGAGAAACTGGATTAGAGCTGAGAAAAACACCGTTTCATTCTTGTTAAATGGGATCTGTGAGGTCCTGTGGGTGCTGGAGCCATGGATGTTGTAATCCCTGTTGTCCCTATAAGAACTGATTTTTACCATAATTTTTTTTCCAACCAATAGCATACACATCGGTTTGATAAAATGAATCTGGGGAGTGGTTCCTGGGAGCAGAGGTGGGGTCACTAGTTCTCCTTTCTGTGGCTTTAGCCCTTCCTGGTGTCCCCAGGGCTGGCACTTTGGGTCAGTCACCAGTCCCTTGACACTGCCATACACTGGCAGAAGGGGACTCTTGGGTGGCCACAGCAATCAAATGGTCCTGGCAGCTCTTGAAGAAAACAGGGAGAATTTTTACCAGCTTGTCTCCCTGGGTGGCAGGGCCATTTTGGGGGAAAAACTCCAACAGTCCCATTTTGTGGGGCAGCCCCCTTGCCCAGTGGAAGTGCTGGCAGAGGGGACAGCCACTTTGCCCGTTGGTGCCTGCGGGCAGGTTTTGTCTGAGCTGTTCAGCTCTTTGGTGTTCGTGGTCTGTCCAGGTTTGGCTTCCAACTTCTTGTCCCTCCTGTCATTTGCAGTGGTGGACTTTGTGTCATCAGACCTGGAGGATGTTGCCCAGAAGTGTTCCTTGTCTTACAAGGTAAAGGTGACCCTAAAGTCCTGGGATGTTAACCGGGGAGCTCAGAGCTGTTCAGCTCACAGCTCGGATGGGCTTGGCTGGGGGGGGACCTCCTGCAGTGGACCTTCAGGGCCACCCGTTTCCAGCTGTCTCTCTGCCCCCAGGCGCTGGCTGCGGTGAGGCGTGTGCTCCTGGCCCAGTTCTCTGCCTTCCCCGCCAACGGAGCCGATCTCTACGAGGAGCTCAAGAGCTCCACGGCCATCCTGCCCACAGGGAGCCCGAGGTGGGTACGTGGCAAGGCAGGGGGGCTGCCCAGGGCTGGGCTTGCTGCCAAAGGCCGTGGTTGCCCAGCGCAGGCGTTGGGTTTCAACGTGGTGATGCCCTGAGCAGGCTCAGTGGTGGCCAAGCCATCCCCAGCAGCTGTTTTAAAAGCTTCCAGCTACAGCCTGGCTCTGCGTTTTGGGAGCAGAGATGATTATTCTTTGTGTCCTGTGGCTGCAAAGCCAGCTGGTCGGTGTCCCTGGAGGGAATGACATTGCTGCTGTCCTTGGAGAGCCTGCGCACCCTTTGGGAAGGGGTTGCACATCTCACTTCTAGACCAACAACGTGCTGCCTTCAGCCTTTGCCTCGAGGGCTCCAGAGAGGAGGTTGTGGACCTGGGAGGACTGGTGGGTGATGATGGTCCAAACTGTGGTCTAGATGAGGCATGGAAATGAGTTGCTCCGTTGCACGTCCTTACTCCATCTCCTCGCGGGGCTGTTGCAGTGACCATGCAGAGGGACCCCTCCGGGTACTCAGACCTCGCTCCCAGCCCCACAGCTCTCCTCCAGCTCAGGACGTTCCTCTTGTAGCCCCCATGATGTGGAGAGGGAGGATGGGAGGAGGCACTTGTCAGCAGCTGGGGAGGGGACTCTAGGGACAGATACCTGGGGGCTGCAGCTTCCCGATGCCCCTGGAGGTGTGCTGATCATCCCACCTCGTGTTCAACCCACAGCCTGGACCAGCTGCTGGACTCCGGGCTGTACACGGGGGAGGTGACGGAGCTCATGGGAGCGCCGGGCAGCGGGAAGACGCAGGTGAGTGGGACAGAGGAGTGGGGAGGACGGGCAGGGGGACTGGGGGGGCTGGCTGACTCCCTGTCCTGGTCTCTTCAGGTGTGTCTGGGCATTGCGGCCAGCGTGTCTCTCGGCCTCAAGCAGCACATCCTGTTTCTCGACTCCACGGGGGGTTTCACCGCCTCCCGCCTCTTCCAGATGCTTCGATCCCAGGCAGAGGATGAGGAAGAGCAGGCAAGTTCCCCTGGAGCCGCTCCCGCTGCTGCTTCTCCACTCGTACCAAAACTGCCGTGGCTTTTGCCTGCAGACAAGCCCTGGGGATGGTTTTTCTGCCTTTATCCCTGTGGACTTTTGGGGTCCGAACTCTTCCTCCCGTGGCTGGGTGGGTGCAGTGCTCAGGGACAGTTTTTTCCATGGGGAGAAGGGGAGGGCTTGCTGTAGTTGCTCACGTTTTTGCTGCCTGAGCTCCATTCGTGTTGCCTCTTCCATCCATGCAGCGGAGAAAACAGTGTTCATGGGGTGGAGGCAAACATGGAAGAAGTAAGGGTCCCTGGCTCCACAGCGTGGTATAGAATCCCAGGATGGTTTGGGTTGGAAGGGACCTTACAGCCCATCCAGTGCCACCCCCTGCCATGGGCAGGGACACCTCCCACCAGCCCAGGTTGCCCAAAGCCTCATCCAGCCTGGCCTTGAACCCCTCCAGGGATGGGGCATCCACAGCTTCTCTGGGCAACCTGGGCCACTGCCTCACCCCCTGCACAGGGAAACATTTCTTCCTAAATTCTTGGTAGAAATGCTAGGAGCTGGCAGCAGGAGGAATAGGGTGCGTGCTGGAGGGGATGAGGCTGCTGTTGATGCCGCTTTGTGCCCCAGCTGGAGGCTCTGCAGCGGACCCAGGTGGTCCGTGCCTTTGACATCTTCGCGATGCTGCGTGCCTTGCAGGAGCTGCGGGATCGCCTCTCCCAGCAGGTAGGAGCGAGGGGCTGGGACCCCTCCCTGCCCTGGAGCTGCACGGAGGGCAGCAGGGCTGGTGTGCCTGATGGTGCCACCAGGTCACCCCGTCCCAGGGCCGTTTGAGCCTCTGTGCAGCTCAGGACCCCCAGAACTGCTGGATTTGTGACCCCACATGGCACCCGGTGCCTCCTCCTTGCAGGATGTGAGCTCCGTGGGACCTCTCAAGGTCGTGGTGATCGACTCTGTCTCGGCTGTGGTGTACCCACTGCTGGGCGGCCGGCAGTCGGAGGGTGAGCTGCTTCGCTGGGATGTGCAGCGAGGTTGCAGACCTCTGTGCTCGTCCTACATCTTCCTCCTGCGCACGCTGCACCCGGAGCTGGGGCAGGATGGGTGCGGGTGCGACTGCTCTGGCTTTTCCCATGCGGGTGGGTAAAAGCGGAGGCTGTTTGCAGCAC